ATTCTCAGTCTCCTTCTTCATGCAGGCTTCATGCAGCAAAGACAAACGGGACCCAGCCTCGGGTGTCTGTCATGTCTCCATGCTGGTAGTAGAGTAAACTTTCCAAGACATAAATCAGATATGAGAGAACAAAACAACCTGCTAAACTTCAACATCTATGGAATGAGGTACAAGCATGTTAAATGCCTACAGTGTTCTTACAGATTAGATTCGAACCATTATCTCCACCTCCACCTTGCATTCCCTGCTTCCTTGACTTTTTCAAGCTTGCCCTGTTATCTCACACCCCCTGCTCTCTTGAATGGGAAGTTCTATCTTCCTTTTTTCCCTTTTTATCTTCGTAGGTATAAAATCATTTCATGATGAGTAACTCAACAAAACCTTAACTTTTTTTTTTTTTTTTGCAATACTCACAAGCACTTAGGAATCCTTTCAGGGTGAGGAAAATCTCATCTCACCATTTGACTGTTTTCAAATATCACTACTTTTATACACACTGAAATTAACAATTAATGAAGTGTATATAATTTTTAGACATTTAAGTATTTATGTTTAATTCAGAACTTCTATTTTTATTTCTAGAGTCTACTAAAGAATTTTTATAGCTCTTGAAAGGTTCAGTTTATATGTACATATGTAGACAGAGAGCTACCATAAAATTTATCTCATCATATAATTTACTTACCTGTGTTCATCCTTCTTACTAAAATGTGAGCTTAGCAAGATAAAAATTTAAAAAATCCATCTTTCTTGCATTCTTATATCTAGTATAATACTTTGAACTAACTAATCCTCCAATGTATTTATTTAAATAAGGTTAAGTGAATAAGTGAATGAATAATAGGCAGGTAATAGCTTAGTAACTGTTTATTGAATAAAAAAGCATGCATATCTTTTGGTTAACATTCTACAGTTTCAAAATACTTAATATTACGTAAACGCCTGGTTAAATCAATTCTTAAAGTGCATGTCTCATGTCTAAGGAAAGAAAGAGATGTGCTTTTGACATAAAGTCCTGGGTTTGACTCCTAGCACAACAAAATAATAACAAAAATAATGATAATAATCTGTTGTCAAAGGTGTTAGATGATAATTGGGCTAAATTCATGTGCCCAGAGAACACTCAGATGAGGGAACTCAGAATTAGGGGGGAAAATCATAGGAATAGTTCACCTAGTTATTTGGTATTTGTAGAATGGAGAGGAGAAAGACATTTCCAAAAGAATGATACAGAAGGGATGAGAGCCAAGAGGAAAGAATGCATCTACTCTGGAGATGGACCTGGATGCAGGATAAAACACCCCCAGCAGGGATGAATAGATAGATGAGTGATATACTAAATAGCAGGCCTAATATTCTGACTTGTCAAGTGGGGAATGACCAGCACAAAATTTGAGAAATTGTGTTCATGGTCACGGTCTTCCCATTGTTCATCGATTTGCTCGAGCAGGCCCAGTAATGTCTCCATTATGAGACTTGTTGTTACTGTTTTTGGCATATCGAGTACGTCACGGGTAGCTTGCCAGGCTCTGCCATGCAGGCAAGGGTAGCTTGCTGGACTCTCCGAGAGGGGCAGAGGAATCGAAATCGAGTCGGCCATGTTGGCTGCATGCAAGGCAAACGCCTTTCTGCTGTGCTATCGCTCCAGCCCATACATTCTAGGTTTTTTTTAGACCATTATTTCTCAACCTGTTAAACCCATTACAAAGTGAAAATTGAGCAAATGGGTGGTCATGTCCTGAAACTAAGGAGCTAACTGGTAGGACCACAGTAGAAAATAAGATTAGAATGGACCCTGGTTGGTAGAAGGTTGAGTAACACTGTTTTAGGAGACTGTTTCTAATCTTAGCAAATCATTTTTGTAGGTCCTAGACAAGGTTGGTGCAGTCTTGAGCTAGAACAGTGGTCCTCACAATACTTCTTTTTTGATTATACTAGTTTCATTGATTAAAAGACTTCCTACCAGCTTTAGTCTCATATTTGACACTTATTCCAACTCTGAAAAATAGATATTTTTAACCACAAAACACAGGAAAACCATGTCTTAGATAAAAAAAAATAATTATCTTACCCAGAATCATCTGATCTGAAATTAATCCCTAGCTTTTTTTTTTAATACATCTTTTCTTTTTATTCAACAAATTCCAGCTGCCTCTTCAGACAAGCTTTTGAATCCAAGATATTGAAAATGTCATATGACAGGAAAGGGATATGAAGACCTGAGACCAAAGACTTCCTTATTGGTCCAACAGTACAAAAAAATCTGTGTATAAATATCTATATATCTATATATCTATATATAGATGTATATGCAGAGAGAGAGAGACAGCCTCTCATACAAGCATACTGGAGAGAGGGTCAAGGTTGAGGGACATTGGTGGAAGAAAGTGGCCAATGGTGAAGGGATCAATGTTGTAAAATTGTATGTCTGAAACATAATCATGAATAACTTTGTAAATTCACGGTGACTAAAAAAAAATTTTTAAAGACTTTCTTATTGACTCAGTGCTAATCATATTGAATTTACTGTAATAAAACAGAAATAATGGTTTTATTTTTTTCTGTCTCTCTCTGTATATAATATATGTACACACATATATACACCAACTATATATTTATATACAGGTTTATATTTATATGGGCTGGAGTGATAGCACAGTGGTAGGGCATTTACCTTGCATGCAGCCAACATGGCCGACCCAAGTTCGATTCCTCTGCCCCTCTCAGAGAGTCTGGCAAGCTACCAAGAGTATCTCGCCCGCACGGCAGAGCCTGGCAAGCTACTCGTGACGTACTCGATATACCAAAAACAGTAACAACAAGTCTCATGATGGAGACATTACTGGGCCCACTCGAGCAAATCGATGAACAATGGAACAACCGTTCTTTATATCTATATACTTATATATAAATATGAACAACTTGATTTCATGAGGATGGAGGATTAAAAATATAAGCATATTTATTAGAACTTTCTTGCAAGTTGAAATTGGCCATGAGTCTCAAATAGGAAAAGAATTTATAAAAACCTAGATAGGTAGGAGATGGCTTCTTAAAACTATGTACTTCCTCAAAACTTTTATGAAGCAGCAACTATCACCCAGAGTCAGCTTTTTGGTGGCAAATGTGACATATTTTGCAGTTCTGTTTATTCAGAAAGAAGGAATAAAAAAATATCCAACTAGAATAGAGAGGCAAACCCATGGCCACAGTGTATTGCTTCATTATTGAAGGATACACTGGAATTAGGTTTGAAGAATAGATTCTATGGCTGTTGTCATGATTATGCAATTACAAAGGCTTGGGTATTTGCTGTTATGGAGGCTTTGACTGGGAATTAGACTAGGGTTCAATACAACAGAACTACTACAGAAACCAATCTTCCTAGTGGTGCTCTCCTTTCCAAGAAAAGATTTCTCTCTCTCTTTGGGCCTCTCCGAGCTGAAGTGGTGCTGTGTTTTTGTAGAACACAGCTGTAGACATGGAGCAACTACTGTGGCCACATAATATTGTCATTTAATTTTATCACAGTTTTTCTACCATAGATTGCAAAGTGTCACCACATAATCATGTTGAATAGAAAAGTTAATTAAAATAGTTTTATATATACAAACTGTAAAGTATCTAAGAACACCTATGGCACCTTGCTTGGGTTTTATATTACCATAACCCCTTGTATAGGATCAGATCCAGATTATATGTCACTGATAAATAGACCACACAGGTGCAAGACAAAGCAAAAATGGAATCATGGCATTTATTTGATTTAAAAGTGCACATTATTATTGAAAGCTATGTTTTCTACATTTATATAAACAATTTCTGCAGAAATATTGAAATTATAACAGATAATCTTTTATTTTCAGCAAATGTATTACACATCCTTAACTTAAACATATTGTTATGTCTTCAATATTAATGACTGTTAAAAGTGCTCTGAAAAGTTATAAACAACTTACATGTGATTCTGTTATTGTATTGAAGTAATTTTTAAAATTTGTTATAATATAATTCAAATATAGAAAATATAGCAAACACTTGTGGGAATTTGAAAAGAATTATATTAGTGTAGTGTGCACCATTTGATATTTAGCACTTTTTTCAGATTCACTTCCAGGATCAATTCTATTTTTATTATAGTTATTAGCATGCTTTCAACATGAAGTGAATCCACGGAAAGCAAAGTTAAGGTTTTGATATCATCTTAGCCAGTGTACCATCAAATCAATGAGCTACATAGGCATGCCATGATTTCAAGAATCTCACCAACACACTAATTCTAAAAACATTCAAACCAATAATTCCTGGATTACGCAGTAGCTTACAACACTCCACTGAGTCCAATGGTCTTGGTAGCTGCCTAAACTTTTATTCTATTGAGTCAATAAAGACTTTATGAATTACCCTAAATAAAATATTTTTAAATTAAACGAGAATAACATAATCTTAATCTTTCTGACCTCGGCCATGAAAGAGCAAAGAAAAATCAGCATGTATCTGTTTTGAATAAAATAGAATGCAGATACAAACTCTTTACAGAAAAGCAATTTTATTCTCATATAAAAACAACGATCTGAATATTGCCTTAATTGAGTTCCCAAAATTTTCAGCATGCATTCCACTTTTTGTAAATTTGCTGAAGTTTTCTATACAACAGAGAAGACTAGCTTTCTTCTATTTAAAATAATAAAAAAAATATATAATAATAAGGAAACAACCCTGAGCAAAAATCAGTAATAATATCATTAAACACAATATCTAGTTAGTCCTTTCAAATAAAGTGACCTAATCAGTTCTCATCATGTGTGCCAGCACACAGAGCAACCATCCAGAAGAAAAGCTGAAAAAAGTCATGCCACAAGAACTTTGCATTTTTATCCTTTAGATGTAAAAGGTGATTCCTAGAGCAACAGACTCTCTGCACAACACTCCTTTGTTCACAGCATTAAGCATTAATACTTTCCCCATATATCAAATTAAAAAAAAAAAAAACACCTTACCAGAAAGGAGCAAGCTGACTCCATAAAGAACTAAGCAGGCTAAAGAGTCCATGCTTCCCCAGGTCTCTCCATCCAGTTTCCGCAGATGCACATGAGGTCCCAAGGATCCTTTCAAACACCCAAAGGTTTGTGACTTTCCATTTGCATGTTCTCCTAGGTCTTGTTTACAAGTCAGAGGCAAGAAGCAGCAGCACAGAAGCAGGCTGCAACAGTCTCATTTCTGCCTGAGCACAGGGAGTTTTAAGTTCCTTTTTCCTGTTTCCTTTGTAGATTAGGATGGGAAAGGCTGTATCTTAAAGGCATTTGATATCAGCAGGACTGTGGGCACTGCAAGCCCTACCCATCTCACAATTCATCAAAACACTTATCTATTGCTCTGCTGCTGTAGCTGCTGCCGCCACTGCTGCTGCTGCTGCTGCTGCTGTTACGGGGTAGAGGAATTTTTGTTGAAAGTGTGGGTCCTGGTCAGCGTTTTCAGAAACAATAGGGGTATCCTCTCACAGGCGGGAAACAGAATAACAACCCCTCCACCTATGTATGGTATGTGATGATGACCGGCCCTTTTTCGCCCACTAACTGCTCTCCTGGGGCTGCTTGCAAGCCCTGACAGAAGGGGCTTGGGATGGAGGGAGCAGCTTTTGCACATTTTTTCTCATTTTAATCCACATGTTTTGAATTGGGAAGAGAAGTTTTCCATGTTGAGAGAACCCAAAGTGAAAGACAATTAGCTTGGGTAAAATTACCAGTGAGGTCAACACTCAATGCAGTCCACAATTGTTAGCATGTTTACTCTCGCGAATGGCTTATTTGTTGGCCAAGAGCCCAAAGAGACTCATGCTACTGGCTACAGCTATTATTTTTATTAACAATCCATCTGAAGGTGATCTAACTTCTTAAAGAATTTGGCATTGAAGAATTTTATTAATGAGAGGGGTTCATGGTTATTGGCGAAAGGGGTTTTCAGAAGCAAATAGTACCCCCAAATTTCTAAGTAGCCTCTATTTAAAAAACAACAATGCGGAATTAGAGTGCATTAACAAGATTATTAGGAGAGAAGGGAGAGAGAATAGGCCAAAAGGAAACTAACCATTGGAGTAAACATGCCTAAAATGAGATTAGTGACTAATATCAGATATTGTTTTTTTTTTTTCATCACATGAATGGTGACTTCAGAAGCAGGAGTAATGCTTTAACCCTCATGTCATCTCTATGCCTGAGGAAGAATTCTCTGCTGTTCTTTACCTTTTCACCAGGAGAAAAGGCAGATTCTGCTAGTTTTACCTAAACCCAACCTTTAGGCAAAACATCAGTGATGCTCTTGAGAAACAATAGATGTTTCTATTCTGCCAGGTTGAGAGGCTTGCAATTTGTCTTCAAGTGCACATGATTCAAATATGGCGATAAGCCTTATTTAAAACAAGCTTTTGAACCTCAACTTCAACAGCAATAAAATGTCAATTAAGTTCCATATGGATTTTAAGAGGAGACTTAAAATTATGTGAAAAATCTGACACTATGCCTGATCCATAAGAAGTCTTTTGTTAAATGTTACTCTTTATTTCTTTCAGTCTGTCTCTGATTACAGAAATAGAAATCTTTGCCAAGAACTTCTTCTAGAAAGTCATTCCCCTTTTCAGGAGATGTCTTTAAATTTTGTATCATCAAGAACCAATATGAGATTGGAATTCTGGATTCTGGTTTCAGCTCTGCCATGATCTTCCTCTGAAGCCTTGAACAAGTCATTTCCCATCTCTAGGTTGTTACCTGTTTCCTCAACTAGAAAATGAAGGATACATACTGGATATGAGTAATTTCTCTTCTAATTGAAGTATGTAATGTCTAAATGACTAAATTGTCTCACTCAGTGTTCCCAAGTTCACTGCTATAACCTCTCATCTGGAAGGTTCCAAGAAGATGCTAACTTTATCTCTCTGTCACAATCTTTTTTTTCCTTTTTGGGTCACACCCAGCAATTCACAGGGGCTAGTCCTGTCTCATGCACTCAGGAATTACTCCTGGCAGTGCTCAGGGGACCATATGGGATGCTGGGAATCGAACCTGGGTCTGCCGTGTGCAAGGCAAACGCCATACCCATTGTACTATCACTCCAGCCCACCATGAAATCTTGAATGGCTCGCAGACATGTTCTATTTTAAGAACCTGGTGGTTAAAACTTTAGAGGTTCACTGACTCCAGACCACGTGAACAGCAATGGCAAGCTTTGGGAATTTAAAAAAAAATTGGGTACCAGCCCCCAAATATGAATTTTCTTTTTTGATGCTTGATATAAGAACATTATCATTGTTTGCATTCTCTCCTGGCTCTTAAGGACCAAAGCAAGATCCAGTGCTTCCTTTTCTGGGCTCTCTCTCTGTTATCCATATTTTCCTTCTGGTTATCCAGAAAATTCTATTCTTACCCAGAATTGCCAGCCAAATTATTTCTATTTTCATTATCTCAAATAGATGACTCAGTTTAATTTTTCTTTCTGTAATCCCAGTAATGTTTCTCAGTTTATTTCTTCATCTTCCAAAATAGTTACGTGGTGTTTAAAAAAAAGAGTTAAGTAGCATAATCTCATCTTCCAGGATTATAAAAAGACTATCCCATTTCATTCTTTCCACTGTTATTCAGAATATTGAGTCCATTAGATAAAAATTGTTGGATTTCCTGAGCTTATAACTATTTAGCTCATCAACAGCTGAGTAATCTTTCTCTGGGTTTTCTAAATCTTTAACATGTATATTCAAGTTATAAATTAAGATAACCTATAGATAGAAGTGCTCAGATATGCTTCAGATTTCTGCTCTATGGATCTTAAAACATAGAAAGCCAATCAAGGAACAACAGTACCAGCTCCATTAGACACTGGGAGGGACAATAGGTCGACCAAGTTGATTGGCAAAGAACTGGAAAGTTGCAAAACGAGATGGCATGCCAGGATTTCCAAGGGAAGGGAGAGGCCACTTCCATGCCTGGGTAGGACTTTCCCCAATACATAACATATTAAGGAAATATCACGTACTTACACATGGCTGCAGTCCTTCACTAGAAAGCTGTCTGTGCCCATTCTCAAAGCATCTCCAATTCCTGAAGAGCCTTGTTGGTGACCAACTGGATTAGCAATCAACTACCATCTACCTAAAAAGATTGAAATGTTCTTCCATCCTTATCAGAACAAATCCTTTTGATTGTAACCAACCTCAGAAAGGTCTCCTCTCTCACAACTTTGATCTTTCCTTTCATGTTGCTAATCACAAAGGTTCATCCTATATTTCTGTCTTTGAATTGGGAGTGCCGGTCAGTGTTTGTAGAACTAGGAGACACTCTGGAGATACTCAGTCTGGTGGTATGGATGAAGATCCAGTGCTCAGGAGTCACCAGGACTATACACAGTGGTGTTTAAGGGATGCTAAGGCAAGAACCATGGTGTTCAGAGAATCATATGGTACCAGGATTGAATTTAGGTTTCATTCCCTCGAGGCATGTGCTCCAGCCCTTTAAACCATCTCTCGGAGCCCAGTCTTTCTCTCCTCACTATTTCTTTCACTTAATTTTCAGGAGACTATAACCATATCTAACTTACTCACCACTGATACTAACACATAGCACTTCACTGTAGCACTGTCCTCCCGTTGTTCATCAATTTGCTCGAGCAGGCCCAGTAACATCTCCATTGTGAGACTTGTTGTTACTGTGTTTGGTATATTGAATTCTTCATGGGTAGCTTGCCAGGCTTTGCTGTGCAGGTGAGATACTCTTGGTAGCTTGCTGGACTCTCCAAGAGGGGCAGAAGAATCGAACCCGGCCCGGCCAGGCCGGCGACTTGCAAGGCAAACTCCCTGCCACTGTGCTATCGCTCCAGCCCAATACTAAAACATATATTTAAAAAATACATAGTATATGCTTTCACACTAAATCAAAGACATGGTCCAAAATGCATGTACAGGAATAATATAGAATAATAGCATTGGTGAAAATAATCAGAGCCTAAAAACAATCTTAAAAGCCCTCAGGTGAACCAGAGATACAGTACAAGAAATAAAGCCTTGCCTGGTTTGATACTTTGTACTGTGTATGGTCCCCAGGTATTACTCCTGACCACAGAATCAGGAAAAAGCCCTGTGCATTGCCAGGTATGTCCCCCTACCCAAAATTCACACACACACACGTATATATGTATATAATTTATTTGGGTAGTGGAGGTTGGCTGCAGGGGCTGGGTCCCTTGGGGTGAGGAGGGCACTCACCCACCCCACAGCCTGACACAGAGTCCGGTGGCATGTTTCTAGGAGCCTCATTTTATGGCATGGTTCTGGGACCCTCAGCCGACCTCCACTACCCAACCAGCACCATGCTCCAGGCCGCTTTCTGGATGCTCAGGCCAAGCCTCACACATGAATGAAGTCTCACAGAATCCAGATAATGTTGAACTTTGTGACTTTGGACTCTGGACTCAATGGGACCCAGCAACAGAGATCCTCTGCCTGCTTCCCCCAGTCTCCAGTGACACAGGGATCACATCCATAAACCATACCCTGCTGGCACCAGGCAGTCTCATCGGCCACCCTTCAGAACTCACGGATGCCCCTCCCAGACGTGAGTATAAAATGAGGCTCTCAGAACCATGCACCGGACTCCACAACAGGCTGTGGTGTGGGTGAGAGCTCTCACCACCCCAAAGGACCCAGCCCCGGCAGCCAACCTCTACCACCCAACCACCGCCACGTTCCAGGTCACTTTCCACACATTATAAGACACTTCCTACCCATTTTCCACAATTATTACACCATATATGATGGGGTGTAATCAACAAATCATAGAAATATATAAATATATGCCTCTCGGAGAGCTCAGAAAGCTACCGAGAATATTCCACCCACACGGACAGAGCCTGGCAAGCTCCGTATGGTGTATTCAATATGCCAAATACAGTAATAACAACAGGTCTCAGTCCCCTTACCCTGAAAGAGTCTCTAATCATTGGGAAAAGACGAGTAAGAAGAGGCTGCTAATATCTCAGGGCTTTGAGGAATAGAGACGTTACTGGTGCCAGCTCAAGTAATTCGATGATCAACGGGATGACAGTGACACAGTGATATAATTTATTTATATATAAATTTTGAAAATAATAAAACCCCCTCAAAATTAATTGATCATATAAATCAGGGTACAGAAACAAATGTCAAAATGTTGAATGGAAGCAGACGGAAAATGAAAGGTATAAAG